TTACCTCTCGTTGTGCCCCCAATGAGGGTTGAAAGCAATACAGACGAGACTACACTGCGAAAGATCGAGCAAAGGTAGGCTAAGTGGTAGAGGAAAACACTTTCTCTTTAAATAAAAAATGAGCAGACCTCTCTAGACTGGAAAAGATCACAGAGGTGATAGCGAAAATGGAAGATGGTACAGAGGATGGGCGTTTGGCTGGACGTCAACTTTACGACCGGATAGTAGCGCAAAAGAAGGTGTCAAAGTAAGCATTGACAAGACAGTTCATTTACGCTGTGTTCATTTAGAGTCGGAAGTTCTGAAACTGTTCCAGCACAGTTCTCGCACTGTGATGGAACTGTTCCGGATTGTGCTGCATGTGCTGTAGTCGCCCTCATGGAATTTCAGCGGCCGGAGTTGGAAGTTTTTAACCGTTTTGCCTTTTTCTTTCAGGTTTTTCTCATTTTCCCTCATTCCTCCACCCCGCTTCTCTTTATGATGGAAAAACTTGCGCGGTTGAAGCAGGTTGGAAGAACGAGCGCTTTTCTGCTCCGCGTTATCCGACAAGACATGCATCATTCTTGCAATCGTCCATTCATTCTCTCTTTTTTTTGTTCACAACTACTTCGTGTGTTTCCGCTGTGTAATTCCGCATCTGTATTGAAAGTAGCATAGACAGCTCTTTAGAACACTTGAAGTGGTTGTGAATAAGAATAACGAAGAGAAAATGGACGAGCCCGCGAAGGCCCATCTTCGTGGATACATGAAGTGGAACAGCATTATCCTCAACTCCTCATCACAAAGAGAAGCGGGGTAGAGGAAACAACGAATAAGTAAGAATGGAAAAATGGAATGGAAAAAGAAAGGGGCTGAGAACGCTCAACAACAAAGCTCATCGAGAAAAAAGAAAAAAGTCGCAATCTTCTTCGCATTTTCGGAGCTTTCGCACGCCTTAGTTTAGGACAGATGGTTGTGCAGACTACGCAGCGGGTTTCTGAAACAAATGGAGTAGGACTGAGCAAAAATAAACGAAGAGAGAATGGACAATTTTTGAAATACACTTCTTGTCGGATACGCAGAGCAGAAGAGCGCTCATTTTTCAACTCCGCTTCAAACGCGCAAGGTTTCCCATCACAAGGAGAAGCGGGATGGAGGAATGAGGCGAAAATGAGAAGAACTTGAAAGAAAAAAGGTTGAAAACGGTTAAAAATCCCATCTCCCTCCCTGACCCCACGCGGGCGGCTGCAGCCCATGCAGCACAGTTCCGGAACAGTTCAACCACAGTGCGAGGACTGTGCTGGAACACTTCCAGAACTTCCGAGT